GCCCGGTTGCAGCCCCCTCCAAAACGAGAATGAATCTTCCGCCAGACCGCGGGAAGATACACTCCCGGTGTAATCACTACAGGGTTTGGCTGTGGTGTCAGGCCCGAAAGGGAAAAAAAAGGCCGGGACATTACCGGTACCGCTCATGACTGAAGTGGTACCAATGCGCAGCCCGAGTTTCAGCTGCATTTGAAATTTGAAACTCGGGCCCTGACTGGACTCCTAAAAGGCAGTTCCAAATGCATTTACGAACTTGTTTCATGACTCCGCTGCAGTTCCCCGAAAAAAACAAAAGTACTGAATCCCGGTGAGGAGGAGAGGCTGGGCCCCGAATCTCTAGAAATTATGACCTACCATTTAAGACTCACTAACCTGATGTGGAAAGGGGTGCAGAACTTTGGGGCAGTCATTAAAGCAGGGCTGTCAAAGAAAACAAAGTAGTCTGGCATGGCTACAAGCTCATTGGAGGGAGATGGTCTTCTTTTTCTTGTTGTTTTTTGCCCCATTTCGGCGGCCTAGGCCCTGTACTAGCACCCAACCATGCCCTGGGCAGTGGGTCCTTTGGCTTTCTTTTTCCTTGCTTCTTTTTTCTCTCCAACGGTAAGGACCTGGCTCCACCACCCACCACATGTCCAAAAGATGCAAAGTTTTTTTTTTTTTTTTTTGGTCATTTTAGTGGAAAACTCACTCTAATTTTGCACATTCGGTGATTGGTGGAGCCAGGCCCTAAACATGACCAAGATAAGCTTGATATGAAATGTCGTCAACAAATAATTACCCGCAGTACCGACAGCTACAGTGGATTGAAGAACCGTTACTTCTTGTTCACAAGCAATAATAATGGTTAACTATGATTTCAAAAGAAATGATGCTTGGTGGCATATATATATATATTTGAAAAATCGTCAAGAAAAAACAGAATGAAGTCATCATTGGACAATGATATTACAATCATAAGAGCATCTGGCAAAAAAGAAAAAGAAAAAAAACAATCACGCAGTGTCAGGGGTGGCAGAATGATGTTTTATGTTTTTTTTCTTTTTTCTTTTGCGTTTTATTTTTTTAACCAGATTCTTTTTATTTTATTTTTATTTTATTTTTTTTGGGGGGGAGGGGGGGGAAACATTTTTTTGTTTATATATAATGTAAAAAAGGAGAATGTCTTGTTTTTTTGACGTAATGTAACGTCTGTAACACAGGGGACTCCCTCCACCTCTGTCCACATGTGAAAAATGGCGTGCATCTTTCCAGTTTTAAGGGAAAGATACACTGGTCACACCTGGCATAAAAATAATGTGTATATTTCCAATTTCGATGGAAACATACACTCGCCAGTCATGACACTGTAATTTTCACACTTTGGGGAGTAATTGAGCCAGACCCAAAGAATCAAAGGAGGTGGGCACCTCCCAGCCAGGAGAGGGAAAAAAATAAAATAAAAAAATGTAGACACTCAACCAACCCAAAGGGACAGACCGCAGCAGTGCTGTCTATATTATTGCTCAAGAAGGATGGACTTTGCCATAAGGCAGACCAGATTCATGCTAGCACACCAGTGGGACCCTACCTACACAACATCTGAAGTCTTTCATTTACTATGGGACGCTGGACCCGGAGGGAGATCCCACTACCGATGTATGTGGAGTAGCGGATAGAACAACCATTTCGTCAAAACGGACATTTTTTATTTTTTGAACGAAACTGAAACTGAGTTTTTTAGCCAAAAACTCGTCAAAATTTGCTGTTCCTGAGGGTCCAGTGTTTTACAAACGCTGGACCCCCTGGCTGTACATGGACCTAGCTTGAGACCAGGCACCTCCAGGCAGTCTGAACAGTGGCCTGTTGGGGTCTGAAAAATCACCATATATATTTAAGAAATTATGACTGTATTGAACAGGAAAGATGGGTTGTATACATTCATGACCAAGGTGGAGTTGGCTCAACTGTTTCCAGAACTATACTTCCCAACCTATTTTTCCCAAGGCTGATTTTTGCCTGGTCCATATAAATCCACGCAATTTTGGCATGCGATTTGCCTGACACCACCGGCCTTTTTCTCTTACAGGCAATCTCACCCTTTCTGCAGGCCGGTGTCAACTGGTGGGCGCTCTTTAGAAGGCCCCAGTTTGGGACTCTAGAGCATAATATCTAAAACCAAAGAAAAGAGTCAAAAGACCTCTACTACACCAATCATCGACGTGGACTGGGGTCTGGACTATGGTATTTATTCTCCAGTATTCCTCTTTTCCTT